TGCTTTTCATAACTTGTTCTTCTCAAGTAAGCTACTCTCAGGACCACGTTTATTTCAGAATCTCCACGTGGAAGTTCAGACGGAACGAGGAAAAGAGAAATGGCGGAGCAGTTGTTCACGGAATCATTTATCGAGCAGCCAAGTTTCATTAGTGTAAGCATTTCCTTCGGGCGAATCTCATTAGGGCCATTTTTGTTTTGGGAATTCATCGACATGCCACAATCCCTCCGTTTCTAACTCGTACTGCGCCTCCTACCATTGGCGGATCCGGAGGAGGAGCGGGGAGCCTTTCGTCCCCTCCCTCCAGGGGCTCAAGTAGCATTTGTTTTACTGTACAAAAGTCTGTCCGATGCCCCTTGTCTCTTCCTGCCCCCGGAAGACCGCTCTGAATCCGCGTATGCCTCCTATAAATTATAGAAAGCGTAGATTGATTGCTTCTCTGGGGCATTGATGAGATTTATTAAACTATGCATATTTAAGTTTTTAGCATTAGCTGTTAGATTTTAGGAACCAAAGATTTAAAGAAATAATTGGGAATGAAATTTTCAGTACGAAAATATGAAGGAGAAATTGGAACAAACGTTTGCGATCCCATCCGTTACCCCAAAAAGCGATGATTCCGAACAGTCCGATATCCGACATCTTTGTGTAATGTCCATGGAAATCCTAGCTTTGGTATCCCGCGGTATGCCGGTGCCAGATCCACAAAGCAACGAAGTATGAATTCCCCTTAATTATTTTCATCTAATTTCTTTTCACTGTTTTTTTCGAATAGCAAATATCGGCTGTCACAGATAGTGGGAATATTTTATTCGATCTCAACAGATATCTGTGCGCAAGATGATCAAACTGACGTGGATGGTGTTCTGCTGAATATGGACAGTTCTTTGATAGGGCACAGTGAACAGTACACATATGTGGAATCAGAAGCTGAACTGCTCGATGCCTTTGTCAGCATCATCAACAAGTAAATTTTTATGCCCGAACAAAGATTTTTTAGTATTCTAAAATGTGATGAAAAGTTGCGGTTAAATCACGAAGATATAGGTGTGTCACATAATATGTCAAATAATGATTTTTGGTTTTTTGATAGAAATGGCGTAAGGAACAATTGCGTCACTATGATGCAGTACCTCAGTCCCGTCTAACCTTTGGGCATCCTACCCCCATTAAATTTTTGCAAACTTAGTAATCTCTGACCGGTAGAGCATAAAAGCACTCCTCCCCATATCCGGAATCCGGAGCTAATTCAGAGCTACTCCTTACTGTTTTAACCCTGTTCTGGGGAATTTTGGCTCCCCAGAACCTCACCGCCTTTTTTCTTCATTACCTCTATTACGCGTTGTGTTATGTAACCTTAGTTTTGTATATAGTCATAAATATATGTATAAATATAACTGGGAGTTTCGATACATACTCATACACATACATATAGGGCACACCATTAGTCCAGTGAATTAACTTTTAGGGTCGCGATTGATATTACAAGGTCAAAAACAAACAAAAGTATTATATTACCTGTGCTTATTTATTTGATTGCTAATCCGCATTTTCTTTTGATAATAAGCAGTCCCTTTTTACAGGGGATTTCTAGTTATGTGTGGATTTGGATATGATTAATCCTGATCGAGAGGCATGATTAATCATCTGTAAAACTGTGGACTCTTAGCTGCTCTGAACGGGTGCCTTGAATTTCTTGTTACCGAGATTTTCACCTTAAAAGACAAACTTTTGCTTTTTAGCAGAAATTTGGCTTTTATGATGAAAATTTCGGTAATAAAAAATTCTACTGTAATTTTAATTTTAGATGATGTTTGTTAATGTAAAAAGTAAGGGTTAAAAAGAAAGGAATAAAAGGAAGGTGAATAAGATAAATCGGATTAAAAAACCTGAATAGGAATGTTTCGGTCCATTAAGCCGCATACATTCCTGTTCAGTGCTGCAACTGGACCTTGTCAGTGTGACGGTTTCTATGATATGTGTTCGTTTGTCGTGTCCCTTACTTATCACGCACTATTAGCACCCATATTATAATGTGCTGAAGTCGCTTATTCTAGGTACGATCCAGACATCGTTGTTGGATACAATACGCAACGTTATTCCTGGGGATATCTTGTAGAGAGAGCGCTTGTTATTGGACGAAATGTGCTCTCCGAAATATCGCGATATCCTGTCGGTATGATTTATCAAATTTAAAATATTTCAGAAAAAGAATAAAATGGGCTATCGTTTCTTTATTTCAAATCTGAAGGGCTTCTGAAATTTATCTCACAAACATTCTAATCACCTGAGGAGCTGTTTTTTCTTTCGGGAAAAGACTGGATTTTGTTTGCGTTCGAAGATTTCGGTTGACTAAAAAAGTCTTTTACAGAAACAGAACAGTCACAGTGCTAGAGAATTTTATTTATAAATTACCGATCCCCTCAAAATCGTTAATTCATTTCGTTGATAAATTGTTACAAATATTTGCCAGAGATCAAACTCGCCATCAACTTGCTTGTAGGCAATCCTTCAGTTCAGTGAGATATTATTTATTAAACCGGTATTATGTCATGCCCAAGCTGCAGCCCTCCTAATCGCATGCAGTATCGCTATATCCGGCCGTACTTATCCATGAGCAAAGTGTACCTTAATAATTCGCGATATCCCGATTGCCGAATATCTCGACAATCGTTCTAGGATCCCGTCCACACTTCCAAATTTGGCCTGCACTGCTCCGCGAAGGTCCTGTTTGGTGGCCACCAGATGTTCCCCGCATGTCCCCACTACTAAAAAAGCCATCGACAGTCCTTTCAGCGAATGATTGCTGTTGACATTTTTGCTACCACTCGGATTACTTTTCGATTGCTTGCCATTAAAGAGGAATAAAAAGGGACTTCTGACTTTTTGGACTTATAAGCGGATCTTGCAAATAAATCATATTCTTACAGTAACTTCCTGAAAAGGTGAATTTTTTATACCTCGCTCTGCCTCTTTATGGCCTGGTCGCCCACTTTGGCAGGCTCAGTGATCCTCTGTGTGTGGTCGTCTTGCAGGCAATTGTTATGTAGGCGTTATGCGGTCGTTATGTGGTCGTTATGTAAGTCGTTATGTAGGATAGGCGTAGGCGCTATGTAGACGTTATTTAGGATGTAGGATCGTTATGTAGGGTGTAGGATGCCTGGGTAGGCGTTATGTAGGATGTAGGATGGCTGAGTAGGCGTTACGTTGGATGTAGGATAGGGGTAGGATGTATTATTTAGGATCGGCGCTGGGATGCCTGGGTAGATCTCCCAGTGAATATGGTATGTGCGGGCTCTTTAACTGATTGTGAATGACGATCCATCGCTCTGTGTTTCTGTGTTTTGTGTGTTTTTATCAATAAATTGTTATATATGAAGAAGATATTTTGCGCGAAGGCCAGAAAAATCCAGAATTGGTCTAGGAAAGCCTCGCCGCCGTAGAATTCCAAAATAACATCAATCATAGCCATTTTTTGTTAGAGAAAAAATGGTCCAGAGCTATAATCGAAGAGCCCTAGAACATCCATAATATGGTGGTGATATGACTTTTTGTAAGCGACATTTCCAGCTTTGATAAAGCGCATGGCTCAGTTGAGTTGTTTGCTGAGAAAATGGTGTATTTCTTGCCGGCACAGTACTTTTAGGTCAAATTTATGCTTCTCGTTTTTGCCTTTATCAACCAACTTTACATGTCCTTTCAAAATAGTTACATGTCCTTTCAATACATGGCGGGTAGGAGGCTGTACTGACGATTCCCACTCCTACCCGCATGCATAGTCCGGTCTGTGTTTACAGCTAAGGGATGAAACATAGAGACTGCATCGTAAAATGTCTTTTTGTACATGACACCTAAGTCGAATCTTTCTACTCTACTATTTATGCTTTAATGAGCCAGTGCTTTTGACCAATGCTGCATTGCCTGCTTCCAGCCTGCTAGCAATCCTAATGTTTGTTTTGTGAATCTCCTAATGTGACTTTTTTTTACGATGTCTAAGCGCAATTTTTTGCATTTTTTATGAAAGAAATAATCAAACTTTTTGTGTACGTGCACTTGTTCTTGAATAAAGAATTCGCGCAGATTTGCAGACATAAACGAGTACTATCGTCCCGTGCAGCAGAGGAGAAGTCGTTGGGTGAAAGACTTGGATCCGACCCCAAGAGGTCGAATACTTTTGAATATCTGGCGTATCCTTCGCTATGAAGTTGCACTCAGGTTCCACGTTTATTTATTTTTTAAGAAATACGCGTTTTTGCTGACCGTTATTCTATGAGTTTATTGTTTTCCAAAAAAAAAAAACGATATTGATACAGCAGTAGTTTAGAAATATGCTGTAGTATATAGTCCGTAAGATATTACTATGCAATTTTAAACTTACGAAAAAAAATTTGAGGGAAAAAAGTAATACTTTTGAAAATCCCTTGAGTTTTAGAAAAACTTCGAAAAATTAACTGCAAAGTTGGTTTTTTTTTTGCAAAAGTAAGGCGCCAAAAAATGCTTAAGAACCATCGGAGCAACTTCAAAGCCAACAAAAGTAGCTCCTTCTGTAATATCTGCAATGAAAAATCTTTCCTTTTTGCGAAATACTTTCAGTAAATTTTATCGAATTTAGCGCTGAAGTATAAGCTACTTTGTCAAAAAGCCCTGTTTTTTTCTGTTCGGAAATAGTTAATTTGTATCCTTCTGTATCGCATCAGTTGTGTTTAGTGGACCGAAACATTTCTTACCATTATAGTAATTTTATTTTTTCTTTTAAGAAATACGTGTTTTTGCCGACCATTATTCCATGAATTTATTGTTTTCGAAAAATTTCTTTTACTAATTTCCCAATATTATTTTCTCTTTCATTCTCCTTCCTATTTTAAAATAGAAACTCTATTTCATTTATATTGGCTGTTTTGCCTCACATTCTGTTCCCCTAGTTTCTTTTGGTTATTAACTGCTTGTGTGGGATTTATAACTTTTCGTGAGAAATAAGCCATTAGCATCGAGGATGCCGGAGCCTTCTTCTAATTTATCCGGTGCACTGATTAGTTGTAACTACAGACATTTTTAATTGTTCTAAATATTGCAGGAATTACGCGATGTCGAATGTGGTGGACGCGGTTCTCAAACGTCGATTCCCGGAGTACTCGTTTAAAACACTTTCGGACTGGATGCTATCCTCCGAAGAAGGCCTTATGTAATTTTTTTTTTCGCTTTTGAACAATCTGCATAAATTTTCTTCGATATCTTCAACTGATGAGCGGAGAAAGTAACTGTTCATTTTCCTTTCGTGTTATGGACCGTTTTTTTTAGACAGCTTTTATGCGTTTTTGCATAATATCCAAATACGAAAACGCATATTGCGACGACCCTGGTGTGTGTGTGTGTGTGTGTCTGCCTGTCCGGGTATTTCAACTCGGCACCCAAGCAAACTCCGGCGCCAAAATTTTGCGAGTGAGTTCCCCGGCTAAGTGCTTTTTGTTATTTTTGTACTGCCAGGGATTTTGCTA